ATTTGTACGGCGAGTGATGTTTTGATATTGTGAAGCTCTTTTTTTTTCGTTGACTTGTGTTTTTGTCGGGGGTTTAAATCGATGGGATGAGAGGTATGAGGGTGTTATGTTGAGGGTACGGTGGGAGGAAGGGGTGCATTGTGTAAACGGGTGCGTCGTTCTTGAGTGCTGGTGCATTCGTTGCCTCGTGTTGTCCTTTTAGAAAAGGTGCGACTATGAAACACAGCTAAAAACAACTCAACCATAAACCTTTTACGTGTCCACGTGCAAAATGTGCATCGCATCACACAACGATGATTTATTTTCCGAACGCAGATCCACCAAAAGCGTACCACGTACAGCAGTACTTGGGTCCACGTGCTTGCCAACCAAGAGAATGAGCGGTGTTTGGAGGTAGCCCGACGTGGTAACGCTAGCTGCGCAAGTGACATGCATGATACGCTCTCTTCATGACCTATTTTGGCATTCGAGTGTAGTCAGTGCGCGAGAGTCCCTGTTTCACGACCTTTAGTTTTGTCAACGATATAAGAGAATATTCTCTTATAGTGAGATACTGTTTAAGAGAATTCTCTCTTATACCGTAGCCAACACGATATAACAGAAAGCCGGATTTAAGAGAGTGAAATTGGCTTGTACCGACCCTCTCTTAAACCGTAGCCGCTACTGTATTTGTTTCTGAGTCTTTTGTTTCTTGTATTTTATCGCTCTGCTAACCCTTGGGGTCCATTTTATTTTGGTATACCTTTTCTAGGTACGTTAGCCTGTGACCACGGAAATTGACCGAGTCAAGTGCTGGATTAGTACGGAGAGATTGAGACAGAAGGAGGTACTGGATAGAGAGACCGGGATGGTTTTTAATGTGAAGACAACAACAACAGTTAACAACAACATACTGCAGAATGATTCCGACGGCCGGGTGCATGTTCGCCCCACGTCGCCAGGTTTCACTGGCCAAGCACTGCATGTTCGAAGCAGCGGTTTCTTCCACAGGCTGCATCTTATGACCGTAGCAGGTGCGCGAGTCCGAGGTGCGGAACAGATCGCCGACTCTTGAGATGCCTGCCAGCATCCTCACACACGTGCAATACGGATGAATCTCTCAACGTGCCGAAAGGTAACAACACGGCACTGAACCAAGCTGAATCGACATGAGCTGGCTGTTGGTGCAAACTGGCTTCCTGCTGACCTGCTCTGACGCTCTCTTGACTCTCTGGCGCCAACGGCAGCATACAGCAGCGCCGGCGGGATTTTCGGCTGCTGACTCGTAGTCGGTCCTATCCTTGCTCCCACACAAGACATCGAGTAGCAGCAACAAAACCTCCTCCCTTTTGAGCAACAACTGGAGCACGGCTCAGCTACATTGCCTTGCGCGCGACCCTTCACGATGGCCGACTTGTGGAAAAGGTGAGATGCCCCCTCTTAAGAGTCAGGCAATACGTGCCCAACAGACACTGCCGAATGATCCACGAAAGGTCTACGTGAGGAGGGTGAACATCAACTACAGTAGTCCTATACTGCAAAGTAGGATCCACGGCAGAACTCGCCGGGAACTCCTCTGCACTAGCTGCTGCGGTGGTAATGACTGCTGTAGATCCCTACTTGGAAAACGGAGGCAGGTCCCCTTCTTCCCCTCGCTGGCAAGTTTTTGCGTAGGCATGACCCATAGCGAGGGGGGGGTCTTTTCAAGCGAGCAGGGCTAGACTCACCCTCAAGGGACCGATGCCTTCTTGCTGCGGCGCACCTGCCGCGAGGCGTGCGTAGTGGTAGAGTTGGGTCGGCACTGGTGCATCAGGTACAAAGGTGCAGATGCGCGGGCCTCCAGGCCGTCGGTGTAGGCAGCAATGCCCATCTCATCTTTGTGCGCGGAGGCAGACGCCGTCAGAAAGGTGGACGGGCACTATGTACACGGCCCTAGGTTTGCTAGAGGGGGCTGCACTGTCTCAGTAGCCTGGTTTTGCCATCGAAGGAGGAGGGGACAGGTGGTGACGAGCTGATTGGGCTGGTTGATCCTTCGGCGCGAGAATTTTCACACCAAGAATTCTGCAAAGAGGGAGAAAGCGAGGGATCGACTGGGAAGGACAGCAACGAGAGCGTGTACGAAGCGGAGCGGGTCGAGTTTGGTCGTGCTAGGACTGGCCACAGCGGCACCGGAGCAGCGGCAGCGCACGGACAAGCATTTCTTGTGTTGTCAATGATTTTCCGTTTTTTTCCTGGACATAAGTGTTGGGTGTGTGTGATGACGTCACTGTATCTGTAGAGAGACGCGGCAGAGATGGCGCGGACAACCCGGGTACCTTACCGTATATGACACAAGAAAACACACCCCTTAGACCAATTTTCGAAGCTCGATTACTCCACGACGAAGAAGATGCAGAAACGAAACGATACATTTTTGGAAAGCTCTCGACGAGACGGTTCCAACGCCGCCGTTTTCGGCGCCGTGACTCTTTCTGTTGTTGAGAAATCGAGATTTGAAAATCGGTCCAAGGGGTAAGTTATCTTGTGTCATTTACGGTAATTGTGTACCTGCATCGTGGAAGACCCCTTCAATGTGAAACGATTCCTAGTCAGTGTCGATGTTCACGCTGCTGTGCCTAACACAGATGATCTGGATAGATTCGGGTGATTGTCAATTGCAATGATGGCTTTGGTTGTTGTATGTCCACGGACTCATTCTGACAGCACTTCAGACAGCAGCTGCATGCCCCGAGCTTGTGTACCATGCACCATGGTGTAATTATTGTACAGAAAGCACTTCAGATGGTAGTACGCTGTAGTCGACAAACATTCATTTTGGTTAAATGCGGGACAAGGGAGGTGATGCTGCTGCTGTAGTCGAATTGTAGTTTTTTTTTGTTTGCTTTTTCTCCCATCATTCCNTTCAGACAGCAGCTGCATGCCCCGAGCTTGTGTACCATGCACCATGGTGTAATTATTGTACAGAAAGCACTTCAGATGGTAGTACGCTGTAGTCGACAAACATTCATTTTGGTTAAATGCGGGACAAGGGAGGTGATGCTGCTGCTGTAGTCGAATTGTAGTTTTTTTTTGTTTGCTTTTTCTCCCATCATTCCACTCTGTCGCCTGCCCCTCTGGCCCCTATCCTCCACTTCTACCAGCTAGACGACCCAACCGAGGTCAGATAGGAGGGGGGGGTTGGACCCCCTCCTGCGGTTCATGCCCGAGATATTTTTTCGCGAGAAGGGTACAGCAATCCCTTCCCTCGCGACTTAAGAAGTCGGTCAAGTTTGCTGACAACGAGCTTTGCAGCGCGTCGCTTCCAACGGAGACCAGGATTTAACTAGCGAGAAAAAACTCACTCTGTCGGGACTCGAACCCATGACATGGCCCTTAGCAGGCTGCGAGGCTACCCACTAGACCACCGGGGCGACGGTGTAGTGTGTGGGCATGTAGTTCAGTTGTGAGGACGCAAACGTGCTGCAGGGATTGTAGGTGTATCTCCTCGGGCTTGTGTACCCTTTTCTTGTAATAGTGTGTATGTTCTTTAGACCTTCTGATTGCTCTAGCATTTTTGTGACCACGGACCGAGGCTTTGCTAGATTTTGGGATTAGCAACTTACACGAGTTTAATGTGAAAAAAAAAACACAGGGGGCAGTGCCGAGGGCGTGGACAGTAGACCCAAATGGCCGCTTCTGACTCGAGATTGTGGTCGTGAATTTGGAGTGAAAACATCGCGTTCCAATATATTGGTGTTTTTGCCTTCACATTTGAACCGTTCCGGTCTCCGCTCAGTACCTTCTGATGTCCGTACTGCAGTACTTGTCCAACTGACGGGGACGCCATCCGTGGCAAGCCAACTACTCCCAAAAAAGTACCTGGTAGCATAACCTAGAGATCACGCTCGGGCTGCCCAGTATATTTTTGCCTGGTGATCGACAATTTCTGTTCCTGAATTTGAGAGTTTGTAGGCTTAGCTCTCTCAAATAGTCCTGCACACGTAAGCATGCCTCTAATAGTGTGTGTCGCATTGGCGAGACTTCAGTTCGGCAGAGCACCCATACGTACGGCAAAAATAATGTTGGACCGGAACAACATAAAAAAATTATCGAAGTTTTAGAGGGGTAGAGCCGGGTAGATGCCGTCCTGCCACCAATCACACGTCGACTATGGAGGACATTATGTTGGACAGACACGGCTGATTGAGCGATGGGCACGGCGCTCTCGTGAGAATCCCCGAAATCCTCTTGCACAACAGCACCACGCACACCACGCAGAGAACATACGAGACAACCCGCACAGCGGCATACGGATTGCCGTGGGCCAAGGTCAGCCAAAGGCACACATCATAGGAGGCGTTTGGTGTGACTCTTGCGGCCCGTTATCTGCTGTCGGCAGCACAAGCGAGTGACGACGCAAGTCAATCTGCGGTCCGTCTGCATCACCTCAACCTACCGATCTTTGGAGCTTCCCACACAGACGCATCCCCACGACAGACAAGGAGACGACACACTGCTGTAGGCTAAGGCTAGCCAAAGGCACACGTCATGGCTTGCGTCGGAAGCTCTTTTTAGACCCCGAGGCCTGCTTCTAGCAGCGCAAGCGAGGGAACCTGCGAGTGGACACAAGCCAAATCTGTCTGCGGTCGGTTCGTCTACAGGCCGATCTTTGCTTCCACCAAAGAGTCACCCACGACACAGAAGACAATTGAGACGTACACAACGCTATAGGCCGAGGGCGACCAAGTATACACATCGTAGGAGGCATGGAGGGCGGTTTTTAGAGCCCGGTGCCCGCTGCTACCAGCGAAAGCGGGGAAAGCAAGTGCACACCCACATCCTGCACGGCGGCAGCAGCCACAGCAGCAGCAGCAAGATTCATCAGCTAAACAGCGCTCTCAGTCGTCCCCTGACTGATTGGTGGTGTCGGGTGAGGTGTGAGCGTGTGCACTGGTGACCTCAGGTGGTGGCGTAGGCTCCATCCATGTCTGTCTACGCTTGCTTTGATGTTTCTCTCCGCCCCTTCTTTCGCGCGAAGCGCGAAAAATATATTTGTATTGTTGGACCCCCATGTATGGGAGTGGAGCCTTCAATTCAAGGTTTTGTTGTAAGCAATCGAAGTGTTTTGTCGTTGGTAGGATATGAGAAAAATGATCACCCAAGTACGAGCCCCGCGAACGAGAGACCGGGTGAAGCCGCACCTCGGCCGCACCTCGAGCACTCTGTCGAATGTAGGTGTTCCCACAAAGAGTCCCTACGACGACTAGCGACAGCAACGCCGAGACAAGGAGCGAGGTGGACATGTAGCTTTGAGTGGTTTGCCAGGTGGAAGAGCGGTAAATTTATACTTGAATAAGCCAGTCTATTTGATATAACCCGCTGTTTTATCTACCAATCGCTGATCCGAACGGCACAACGAAACCAAAAACGAAGAAGCATACACCCAACGCGACACCCTCCTGCCCGTTTCATGACGTAAAAAGGTTCATTTCGGAGACGCTTGGCATGGCGGTTGTCATGTCCGTCGGCAACGGAGCGATCGCCAACGAAGTGCTGAAGAAGACGAAGGGCCATGCTTTGGGGCTGGGGTTCGTCGCGATTGCGTTCGGCATGGCCTTCTTCCTGGCGATCTCCATGTTTGGCCACATCAGTGCCAATGTAATCGCTTGCTTGTCTTTTCCACCCTCACCGTCGTCTGGGAATTTGGATGTTCTGGGTGTCCAGCGGGAAGTACTGTCGCACAACCAGATGAAGTTGGGATGGTTGTCACAATTACGTTCGATCGTTGTCGAGGCAAGGCGCCGCTCCCTCGTGGCACGCTTCAAAATTGCGCCGCACTACCATGGTTAGCCTTGGCGTGCCCCCCAGTCCGTTCATTTTCACTGTAGCCCTCCGTGGACCGCCGGTGCCATGGTGCCGCAGGTGAATCCCGCCATGCTCGTCGCCAAGGCACTCCTGGGCCGATTGGCATGGAAGGACGCTCTGGCACTGTCGGTGGCGAACATTCTCGGGGGATTCCTAGGCGGTGTCGTCGTCTACGGCCTATAGTAAGTCAAGCGTGCAAAATGTTTTGAGAAGCATTGGGTTCTTCGGAGCAGACGGGAGGGGGGCAGAAACTGGGAGGAAGTCAAAGACATGCAATGCACACCAAGTTAATGACCGCATCCGAGACGGTTATGCTGTTGGGTTCAATCTCTCCCTGGAGTTCGTGTTTGTGTAGCAGATGTTTTAGAGCTGGGCCTCTTGGAAAGCGGTTTGCTGTCGAAGATTGTTGGGGCCGGGCCCGATCTCCAGCTAGCCAGCTAGGCGTTTCACATCTCCAGCTAGGCTTTTCGCCATGTCCCTTGTTTCAAATCAAAACGACAACACGAGAGACGAGGCAGTGAAATTGGTTATCATTATGCGTTCGAAACTGGTGTGATGCGTAAAATCCCGAATATTCCGCCAATAATTTCGTCACTGGCTCGCATGTCTCAACGGGCCATTCGAACCCATTTAGTGTCGTACGACCCAACGATTCCCGAAACGCAACATTTCGTTCGCTACGACAGCGAAAAAAAGCCAAACACTGAGAGCACACGCCAAACGATTTCCCTCGCGTGTGAGGTTTTAACGTCCCACCGAGATGGAGTCCATGCCCGGGGGGCCATCACACAGTTGTCGGCGGTCCAGGAGGACTGCATGCCACGAAGGTGTAACTGCTAAGAGAAGGATGGTTGTCACGATATTTCGGACGTGTCCGGATGATATCCGCCTTACGTCTCTACCGCTGAGCCTATGCGGTTGTTGGCTCACCCTCTTACCGTTTTTCCATTGACGAATGCCCTTGTTTAAGTCCCACGCGAGGAATTGATATAATTCCTCAAATATGAGGTCTTGAACACGCGTGGTGGATGTAAACGCCGACCCCCGTTCTCTCTGCGCGAAACACGTCAGTCCTCATCTGGAACCCAACGCCACCGTCGAAATATTCTGGTTGGGCGTATTCCTAGCTTCAAGCTCCGCTTTCCCATACAACTTGCTTCATTGAGCTTTAGAATAGGTCTCATCCCGTTCATACCTCATTGTTTGCTCGACTTCGTTTTTCGCTCTAAACCAAACAGTTTCGCGCACTTCAGCATTGTGCCGGAGAGGCCGAGCCCACCTCGTTGGGACGACGCCTTCGTCGACTCGTCGTACGCGCCGCCCAGCCACACAAGAAACGCCTATATATCGTACGAACCCCGTCATCGAAACCTATCGAACGAGGTACAGTACTGATCGGCTTCATTTCAACCCCTAAACTCCCAGCGAGACTAGAATAATCCATCATCGCCAGCATACTGCGCGTCAAGGGAGTGCGTAGGCCGTTCCGCATGGGTCACGATGCCGGACACGCCCTGGTTATGCGCTGTTTTTTGCGGGCTTCGGGTTTGCGAGGGCGCACATAGCCAGATCCAGGGGCGGGTCTCACGACTGTGTTGACTCGCTATGTAAACGTCTGTATGGCCATGCTTACGTTTGGCGAACCTGTGGAGGCGATAGCCACGTGCCGAGTTGTTGCTTTGGGTACACAATACGTGCGCCGTCGCCCGCTGTGTTTTCCGTGCTCAGGAAAGACGAAAGGTCGTGTTCAGGTACAAGCCAACCGAAGCCTCGGGAAATGGCGACGAGTCTTGCAACTCGATTTCGTTCCCCCGCGCGGAATCGTCCAACAGTATCCAGGTAAGGACGGGGGAAAATTCCGAAGAACCTGCCAGAAATCTTGCGGTACAGTCGTTGCGAGCAGACTTGTCTTCGTTCGAGTACTACCGCGGCTTATGTATGTGGGGTTTGGTAAGGGGCTAGACTTTCTTCACGAGGCCGTTTCTATTTCGCAAGTGTTGGCCGCTTTTATTCTCGAGTTTTCGCTGATTGAAATGAAGGAAGGATAATGGGCACTAGTCGAACGCATTCAAGAAACGCGTTGAAACAAATGTGCACGACTTTGTGCATCCGTTTACGCGATACCCGTGTATGCACCAGAAAATGTAGCGCCTCATCTCCCTACAGGTGGCGAAGTTCGGAGGCCCCATTTGCAACGGCGGGCTATCTTCCTACACAGCAGTGATATCCGCTGTTCCCCTTATGTACATACACAGAGCTGTTGTACAGCTCTCATTATTCCGCTATCCCTTGGGTGCGCCATTTTTCGCTGTGGTTGCGCGCCATTTGTTGTTTTCGTTCTTGCGCATGGGTTTGAATTCCACCGCAACACACAGGTTGGCACCATACTTCACGAGCACGACAAAGCAATAGACCCTGTCTACGGGGCTGGCGGGGAAGGAACGGAAGAGCCGAGTGCCGAGTGCCACGACGAGCATCGCTCCAGAGTCAAGTTGGCTGAGACCCATCAAGCGGATCGAGCGCGATCTTCATCGCGAGGATCGAACCGGGTGAGCTTTCATGCTCGTTCATGTACGATTCCTCTTCCAATGGCCCAGAGGGGGTCTCGTTTCATCCTTTGGCCACGGTTCCTGCCATGAGCCTCACATGTCCCGCAGAAGACCCGGTGCTGTATTTCCCGCCCGCGATGCGTAGGCCTTGGCGGTTCGTGAATCCTAACACAATGAAGTAATATTTGCGGCGGCTCTCTTGGAGCATGAAGATTGCGAGTTTCCCTGCGTCCGGGGCGTTGGAAAAATGAAACCGGTCAGTAGAGGACAACAATTGTTTTCGTTGAAGAGGCTCGATTCGTTCACGCACAAGACAAATCTGTTTCTCGCGTTTTAGAGGTGCAGCGAGCCAGTGTTAGGGCGACCAAGAAAGTACCTCCAGTTCTATGTGCCTGTGTATTGTTGACGGGCCCTCACCCGCTGCTCTTTGTCCATCGACGTACCTCTGCAGGTGCTCTCGGGGGCATCGCTGGAGCAAGACGCCGACTACTACAGTGACCAAGGTCGGGGGGCGGCGAATCGCGCCCGTGTGGTGCAGTCTGAGAGAACTCCGCGCAAGGGGCTACGGCTTAGGCAGGTAGGGATAAGCAAGCGAATTTTTTATCGAAAAGGGTGTGTTCTTTGGAATGTAGAGGTTGGGACATGATCTCTCAACGTTGTGGGAGAGTCGATACGTTGAATCGAAACGTTTTGGTACATTTTGTTTGGTACGTGTTGGGGATTTCTCTGGGTTGCGTACTCGACACACGTTCGTGAATCTGTTGCATTCCATGAGTTGGAACGCCATGGTAATTATTACGTGCTATTTTCTGTTGCTCCAAACCCCATCCCTCAAGCAGTTGTTGCTTCGGTGGCTTCTTCTAATTGTTGTTTCCACCGACACTCTCAAACCCAGTTCGTCCTCGGGGCAAAGCATGTCAAGGGGTTTCAGATATGTGCAAAGGTCATGCCGGACAAGCAACGCGTCATGTATCGGCTGTAGCACGTAGTCGCAACCAAAACGTTTGTGCTCAGAGATCCTATCTCCAGCCATGTGCGTACAGCTGAACGAAATAAGCTGGGCACCATCGAAAACCCCACATCCGCGAGCACAAAATGATAGCGCAACAGTTGTAAATCAGTCCGGACAGACGGTTCCAGATCGCTGTTGCTACATGGTAAAACACCAGGTGTTTTTGCTTCCCTCAACGCCCATCTATATCAGGTTGCAGGGATCAAGTTCGGAGGAGTGCAGCTGCGCGAGGCCTCCAGGGTTTCCCTGAAGTCACCCAGGCGTCGCTTTTCCCTGTTCGGCCTCTTTTCCGGGGCGGCCCGTACGGAACGCGCAGAGGTGGAAAACCAGGAGCTTTTTTCTCAACTAGAAAGGTGATTGTTTTGGCCCGCTGCCCTGCCTCTCGGCGTCAGCCACGCTAATAACCTGACATGGAGCCATGCGTCGGTGAGCCCCCTCAACGACGACGGCGTACACCGGTATGTGTTTTGGCAGGGCTACAGCGTTGCGTAGTTGTCGTAGTATGTCATCGCGCTCTTGGCCCGGTTCCCCGGTCGAGGCTCTACAATCCCGGCAGCGTTCGTGGCATGCTCGGGGAGCGCAGTCAGGTTGATTTCCAGAGACAGCATACCCGCGCCAGAATTTTGATCAAGTCGCACATATGGCACGCATCACTCCAATCTTTATGCTTTTGAACGGCGCGGCCCCGTTCCCTAAGTGTCGTGATGTCACTTGGAAACATCCTATCGGGGGCACCTATGGTAATACTACTTGCCCGAAGGCCAAAGGGGGAAGAGTCGCACCAGACCGACTGTTGACGGCATTTGGCCCACATCGACTCTCGCTAACCCCATGAATACTCCTGGTTCAAAACCAAACTCGCGATAGGGCTTGGCACAAGGCGCGAAGAACACTATGGACTGGCTCTATTCTCCCTGTGTTTCTGTGTGAAGGTTGGAAGCGGTTTTGATGATCTGTTAAAAGGAAATAGTCGGTGGCCTCTGCTTCGTGGAAGACACCTGTGATGTGAGAGAACGACGACGCAACCGCCGCTGGTGCAGGAACGGCATCACCAGGGAGGACGTGGCGGTGTATCGCGGCATGCTGATCGCGGATCAAAACGCGAAGCTGGCCGCCTTCGCCTCCCGACCCGCTGTTCTCAACTACGCTACCAACACGGTGCATGTTGGAAAGACTATGACTGTGTGGGTTGGGCTTGTACTCGATACGTACAATAGGGCACTTTATCAGCTGCTGAACTGTTGCTCGAGGTTCTTTCATTGTGGGTCGGAACCTCCCGAGTAGTGACTCAGGATTAGCTTTCCAAATTCGGGGTTGGCTCATTGGGACCAGATCGTTCTTTTGGTCTTTGTCAACAGTTCACTTGAACCTGCGTTCTAGTCTAGGAGCGGATAAGGTTTGGCCAGGTTCGGCTGTTCAAGACACCGTAGAAACCCGCGTGGCACGGACAATATAATCGAACTCGAGAACGATCCTTCCCCATATGGAATACCTGTTCAATGGACTAGGTTTCTGGGTCGGCCGCAGCGTTGTATGAAGCAATCACCTTTGATCCCGACAATGTTGACCAGGTTGCCGAGATAATTGGTACGTTTTTCCTTATTTGGACCGCACTGATGCTGGAGGAGCGAGTCAACCTCCTGGAAACACCGGAAGCGGCAGACAACCTCATGCCCATTCTGGGTCCCCTGCTCATCGGCTTTCTGGTGGGCGCATGCACAACCTCGGAAAAATATTGAAGCACAGTTCGCGCCATAGTTCTCTCCTAGTCACGGGCGTCGGATGTAGCTTTAGGCTGCTGCTGTTTATGCTTAACCCACTTGGGAGTATTGTTTCCCATGCATAGGTTTCTGGTGCACGCTCACTGCTCTATCCGCTGCAAATTCAACGCTTGAGACGGGCTGGGCGAGTTTTATCTGCAGGAACACATGCTCCCGCCGAAATTCGTGCACTTTTGCCGCCGTTATGGTGATGACGGATAGTGAATCAGCTGGTGTGGCAAGAGATTCTCAACCTCATATATCCGGACGCCCTCCCAGACCGTGGTAGGTAATTCACCGGTGAACAAAGTAAAGGCACCTCGAACCTACGCCATCAACACATGTCATCCACTACAACCTGTTCCAGAAGCAACTCTCGATTGCATATGCCAGGTGTTAGGTCTGGTGACAGCGATGGGGGGTCCAACAGGTTACACGTCGAATCCCGCGAGAGACCTGGGGCCTCGAATCGCGCACTTTGTACTCCCCATCCCGAACAAGGTAATGGAATTGAATCGCAGCTTGATAGCAAGATGGAACTCATGCGCGCTTGCTTGTTTGACGCTGTTCTCTCGGAGGCCGCGTACGTCACCTATGATGACCTAACTCGAATCTGGTGTTACTGCAAGCGTGCCGTCGTTGCTTGTCCAGAGGTCTACGACTCGACTAGGTCCTTCACCACGCATTTTAATTTTGGGATGGTCCATGAAGTCATTGACTCAGCTTCTTCGCCAGTTCGGGGCCCGCGTCGATTTACCTTCTCTCCTGTTTATCGAATGCGATGAAGTGGCATGTCGAGCGCCAATTTCGACGATAAGCTAGTTTTCACATCGATGAATGGTCATAGACCGATATCATACTTAACGTTTAGGCCCCCAAAAGCAGTAAGTAAGTAGCTGTTGCGTCCTGGGAAGAGCGCCTCTGCGCCATTCCATGTGTTTCAATAAGCCGAAGGCGACAGGCCACCTTTCGTTGCACGTTTCAGGTAAAGCTCTTTACAATGTGGTCGTCCTTGAAGCATACTACTACTCGCGCCAAAATGCCCTGATGCTTGAGCTGGGGTACCAGGTGTGTATCTACGTGAAGTCCACCGAACGCCACCGAGAAACCTCTGTTTTTGTTGTCGGCGAGCTGCAGCCAAGGTCGGCTTCAAACACTCTTGTGTCTTCCACATATAGGTTTTTCGAAAACCTAATGCGCCGCGTGCGACGTTCGCTTTACGCTCATACCCAGGGCCCATCCGAGTGGTACTACGCCTTTGTGCCCGTCGTGGGACCGCTTGTCGGCGGGTTTCTCGGGGCGGCGGCATTCTACGGTTGCATCCAACTGAACGACTACCCGGCATGGTTTGAGGGGCCGACCAATACCTTCGGAGGTAGCTGGGAGTTGTGATGCATTTTTTCGTAGTTCAGGTTGCTTTTGGAGGGGGGGGCACTCAACCTGCGTGAAACGATTTTCTAGCTCCTTCGGCCGGCCTGGTCCAAGCTCTAGCTTTTCGAGGATAGGAACAGCGGGTCCTGGCAGTGGAGCTCTTGACAATACTTGGCGTTTGTCAAGTTTGACCAAAGGGATGAGACGGCGGTGGAAAAGTCGAAGGCTCGGGTAGTATGACATCCTTTCTACTGTAGACTGGTGCCGGTGGCGACAAAGCCCCTGAGTAAGAACAACCAGTGATTACATGCTTCAGAATGCGGTTCCTTTTTTTTTGGGCCCTGGTCGATTTTTGTTGTATTGTGGATTGCATACCTCAACGCACTTCCCGGCTCTAGGAATTCGTCCATTATTCGATTTTGCTTGCGTTTACAAATTTGTCGGCTTGGGTTGTCTCACCAAAAAATAGTGCAAGCCTAGACCACAACGGAAGTTCCGCGCCAGATAGTTGGAACAGTAAATGTTATGAGGTGCATCAGTGCCGGCCCGCTCACTAGAAACGCCTACATATCAACAAGGTTCAAGGCCATGCAGGGTCTACCGGTTGAGCAAAGACAGGCGATTTCTCAGCTATTGGAACGAGTCTTTGTGGCCCGGCGACTGTGCCCAATTTTCGTGTAGTAACACCGACATATTTGTCGTTTTGGTTTGCCCGTTTTGCCAGATGTAAGCATCTGAGCCCAGCTTTCTTGTGACGATGTCCCCTATATGAGAGCTTAGTCTACTGGCTTTACATCAACAGTTTTCAATGGGAGACAACCAATATATCATTGTGGCTTGATGATTGCCACAGAGTTCGTTGGCGGGACAGCAGCGGTTCTAGCAGTGGCTGTGAATGCCACATAAGTTCGGAGCTGCCTGATACATGTAGATGCGCGCACACACCTGCTGTGTGTGTTCATCTTTGATGCTGTGTGCTGTAACAAAGCGATATTCTGCTGATGTGTGAGAACTTCACTCTCGGATGTTGGTGACACAAAATGTCACTCCACCCGGACCGATTGACAACGCTCGATTTTTCCACAGCTCCAATACAGTGGCAGCGCCAGAAAATACGCCTAGAAGCTCTCGCCGAAAGCTGTCCGAAAGCGTATCGTGTCGTGTATGCACCCTCTTCGTTCGTCCTGGGAAAACTCGATCGTTGCAAAATCACTCTAGGGGGTATGGTATCTTGCGTCACCGACAGCAGTCGGTCTGCTGTCGGACGAAGTAACGACCATCCGTAGAACGGGCGTAGAGCTCAATCTGGCGAGGGCGTGAGTCATCCGACAGCAACGCATCCCAAAGACGTCGAACCAGCCGCGGCAGGCGCAGTGTCAATGTTGTAACGACGCACCGCAGTCGGTCTTCTTCGATGCGACGTATCGTGTCAGAGATGCTGCTGGTGGATGAAGATTTTCAAATTTCGACTGTAGCCCAGAAATTCTGACAGTTCCCGCCGCGTGTTGGGCCTGCCGGGCTCAGATGCTCCGATCAATGTTCGTGGGCGCGAAAAGTGTGATGTGACTGAATCCGAACATCGAATACGCTGTATAGAAGGGTGTGTGGTGAATGGGTATGGATCACTCGATTTGTGTTCCGAATCGTTCGCTGCGATGAAGAGACGGCAATGGATGGGTGGATCCTGCCGTTCATACCTTTGTGCATCTAGCCTAGACTAGCTAGTCTACAACATTGCACGAGTAATTTAGATATAGACCAACCCTCCAGTCCATACCATGTAACATACCGGAGAATCATGCTAGGAAATTCTCAATCTCGCACCGCAAAAGAGTCGATGCTTTAGAGCGCAGCACACGGCTGACTGCAAGGTTGCGACTTTGTGTCGAGGCTGCGGTGTATGCGAGGGTGGCGGCCTCTGCAGAGACAGCGGTCTATCAGGGTCGAGCATGGTTCTTTGTGTCCCCCTGTTTGTCCAGGGTCTGAAGTTGTTGCTGGTTACATCGGGGGCATGTCAATAGCTGTCCTGACTTGAAGGCCACGGTTGAAGGGGAACCCTCCCGAGGCCATGGCGTCGTCGACCTTACCCTCCAGCTACGGGGCTATCGGCAGTACCACTGCGAGGAGAGCGTTCGCATTGCTGCGTCCCAATCATCTGTGAACGAAGGTGGTCAGCGACGATGGGTCGGCGGTCAACGTGTACGTCGCCCTGAAGCCAGCCGGATTGACGGAATCGCCCGCCCCTGGTGCCTCTTCTGCCGGGGGCATCGAGAATATTGGGCGTATGGAGGACGGGCTCACAAAAAGTCTGTTTGTGAACGAGGGGACGCTTAGTCTGCAGAACATCAAGTTCCACCTCAACGGCGCACAGGGAGAGATGTACGAAGTGCCAGGTGGAAAGGGGAAAAGGACACTGGGGAAACATACAAGGTACATTGGATCAACGCGTTTGGTGCGGAACTCAGGCCATCTTATCATGCAGAACAGAAGCGTTGTCGACACCTCGTCGGTCTATTCTGGTGGACGTCCTCCTCCCAATTGCCGGTGGCACGAGAATGCGCTGCAGGGACGCGTGATGAGAGATAAAAGGTTTCTGGGCGTTCTTGTCCGAACGTTCTTGACCGAACCAAACTGCCTCGAAAGAACGGGGATATACTGTAGACTTGTAGATGGTAGACTACTTGTATGGGCATCGATCGAAGGTTCTCCTGGACAATCGTAGTGACGAACTCGCATACTGCCGCATCGCACACGTGTCGATCGATGCGGTCTTGCTATGCTGTCAAGGCTCAATCTAGGTGGGTATCGTTCTCGGAGACTGTGTTTTCGGCCTCCTCGAGATGGCTTGCGCTTGAGTTTTCAAAATCAGATACGTAGCGTGTAGCTGCTTGGCGCCACATTTTATCCAGAAATGTGCGAATAGCCGAACGGTAAAAATAGTTCAAGCCAGGCGGCCAATACATACGCACACACCATGCCGCCCCCTCACGAGGTCCCAGCTAATGACAGTTAGAAATGTGTTGTATTTCCAACCACACAAAGGCTGACGTCTTTTCATTGGTCAGCCGGTTAGCGCGGTCGATGCCAACAATGAAACACTCCAATATGACCGCAAAAAACGTCGATGGTGAAGGACGTGAAGTTGGGTGGAGATCGATGCGAGTGCTCCATCGATACATTCCATCCGAGAATTCCGAGGACACACATCGGAGTCATGCATGAGACTGAAAAATTGCGAGAAAAGCAGTCGCATGCACTGCATCTTGATCACACACACATACACTTGGCGCATGAAGCTTTTTGCCGGGGGAATATTGAAGACAAAAGAGCCTTAGTTCGCCTGAAAGCCTTTCATACTAACTGGATTCGGAGACGGTTTACCATCGAGCTAGCTCGTTTTCTGTCGATGCGAACTCGCGATGTGTTCAAACGTCATGGGCTACTGATCGACCAGTTTCCACCAGGGCCAATCGGTTGGGATCTCTGCGACAACGATAGTAGTGAGGGTAATTCTTTTGGGAGTGACGAAGACGAAGGAAAGGGAAAGGGATTTAAGGAGGACGAAGACGACGATGGAGCAGGAAACCATGGAGGAGTGGAAGAGCAAAGGGTTTGAGCCAGATGACCTTCCCCACAACAAGAAACGTAGGGCTAGGGAAGAACTGCCCAGAGATTCTTCTTGTCGAAATGAGGATCAGAATGATGGTAGCGAAAACAAGGAGGACACTGGTGAAAGTACTCCTAAACGAACTCGAGTACTAGGTAATAGCCTTGGTAGACGCGTGCATTTTTCGTCTGTTGCTGCTGTTTCTGTTTTTAATCCGAAGGATAGTTAAGCCTCCCCCATGCTGCCCCCTCACGGGGTCTCAGTTCATGGTAGATAAATGTGTTTTGTGTTTTCAACCGCACTGAGACTGACGTCTTTTCATTGGTCAGCCGGTTAGCGCGGTCGATGCTAATAATAAAAGCACAGAGAGAGAGAGAGAGAGAGAGAGAGAGAGAGAGAGAGGGAGGGTGAATAGAAAATCGTCTTGTTGGCCGTTTCTAATGTCGCGCGTCAACAATACTGAGGATAAGCTACTTGTAGACCACATTTTCTTGGAGGAGTCGCCGTGCGCGAGTGTGGGACCTGCATGTTTTTTCCTACCACCTTACCTCTTCGTAGGTAAGCGCCATAGTCTACATATCGCGGGTCTGCGCACGGATCGGCTACACCGCACGGGCCGGGGCCATGGCACACGGTGTGCCGAAACAAATTAGGTTCCATGGGATGTAGACTAATGGCCTATCCCACAGCAGTGTCATGCACTTCACACAGAGGTGCGGGTAGACCCGAATATCTTGGGTGAGGTTGGGCGATACAATGAGTAGTATGCAGAATTTGTCGCGGGAACTTCTGTGCGGCGGGAGCTTGTATCATATGGGTAATGATCTTGTTGTACTTTGGCACCGAAATGTTGGTCGTGTGCAAGTGACGTTGTTCAAGTGTTTCTACAACGTGCCTTTTGTGTTCAATATTGTGAATATTGTCGAAATCGGTAACGGTATTACCCAATTAAGCAATAATACGCACGAACCACCCGAGACTGACGGACCACAAAGAAGTAGTACTACAAATAATGGCAGGATACCGGTACACAGTGCGGATACATACCTGGCCAGGGAGGCTTGGCAGGGAAAGTTAGACCCCCCCTAGGCCACTACGTCCTTGTCCGCCCGTGGCACCAAACCAAACCTCTCCTCTGCCGGACATAACACGCATCGGATTTGGTATTTCGCCACATCTTCTTTCGCCATGTGTTTTTAACACCGGATTATACTTCTTGAGAAAAAAAAATTTAATGAGAAAATATTTGGGCAGGATGGCGCACCAAAAGTGCCAAATAATTTATTTTCGCTCCAACGAAAAACATCCTCGGGCGTCCTCCAAATCGAACACACGCCCTTTCNAAAAAAACGCCACATGGTACTTTCTCGGAAAGCCCCAGAAACCCAACAGATCAGCAGATTCGCGAACCCAATGATGGATCCCAACAGGCAACTCTGACAAGACCTGTGCCACAGGTGAAGGAAGACAAAGGGGATAAACAAAAGCAGGGCCTGCTACTCCCCAGTTGATATCGCGAAANTCAAGAGCATTGGATTCAAAACTTCAAACTAGGGTTGGCGTCATTAGGCAAACCTTCAACTACATTCAAACAAAAAAAAACGCCAAATGGTACTTTCTCGGAAAGCCCCAGAAACCCAACAGATCNCACCCGACGGGTTTTCTTCACCCCACCCGCCCGTTTGGGTTTCTGAGGTTGAGTTAGTCCCCTCTTCTTTGAAGAGCCCCTGGTGTTGTGGGGTTGCTGTACTGAAGAAGACCCCGCGGCCGGGTTAGCAGCACGACGAGATTTCGCAGGTCGCGCCGTCTTCTCGGTCGCGATTGCAGGGGCAGCCGCGTTCTCCTTGTCGACGTCGTCGTCCTTCGTCGAGTGTTTCTCCCCCTGCACTCCCGGCACTCCGTCCGCATGGCCACTCTTGTTGTTGTCACGGGGAGGGACATCATCAGTAGTGTCCTCGACCTCCGAGACATCAGACGCCTGGGTTTCCGGCACAACCGAGAGTTGTCCGGCGCGTATCTCGTCTGCGTTGGAGTGTTCTTCCTCAGCCCAGTCGGAGGTAACAACGAAGACCTCGTGGCTGGCGGGTGTCACAACGCGGACTGGGTGCAGTCGGCGGGAGCCCCTCGTAGCCTGAATAGTCTTCTTCATCTGGACCCTGATGGGGCAGCCAAGA